AGCTATGATGATACTGCCACACTCTACTCACAGCAACAGAGTGACACTGGGTCTCAAAATAAATAAATACATGAAATTAAAAATAACTAAAAATTAAAAGTTAAAAACAAGACAGATGGCCAGTAGTTAAATTATGGTACACTCAAATGATTGACTGAATACAAAATGATCTCGTAAAACAACTCTTCACAAGGAAAAGGTTATAAAACACTAAGTACTGAAAGATCCAAATTTGGGGGCTGATGGAAATCTGTGTGCTGATACCCAAATAGACTATATGTTCAAAAACTTTACTGGTGGTTATCTTCTGGCAGGATTATGTGTGAGTTTTTACTTTGTTTTTGTTATTTTCTACAGATTTCCTCTTTTCTCCAGTGGACAGATACTATTTGGAAATCAGATTAAAACACTACTACGGAAAAAGTGCTTTTCAAAATTTAATGAGCATATGAATCAGCTGGGGGAGCCTTGTTAAAATGCAGAGTCTGACTCAATAGTCTAGGTGGGGCTGGAAATTCTCATCTTTTCTAATAAGCTCCCAGGTGATGCTAATGATGCTGGATTCGGCGCTCACTCCGGGTAGCAAGGGTCTCTTCTGATCTCGTTGTTTGGCTAGTTTTGCAAAGCCCAAGCAAGTGAAACCTTATTAAGTGAGTATGCGTGATATAGTACTCCTCATTGCTAAATATTTCATGGAAACATTTTATGATTTCAAATCATTAGACATCTCCATTACTTTAGTCTTATTAAAATTTGCTGGTCCCTCAAATATTTATAAAAATCATGGCAAAAACATACAGGTTCAGTGAAAATTGCAGTGTTTCTGGGATATGGCATTTACTAGGGTCAGGCCAGCATTTTACTGCTTTAGGTTAATGAGCCTTTAAAATAAATTGTAAAGAATACAGGAGAAAAAAATTAGAAGAACCTTAGTGTAAGACTACAGTGATGTTTAATGTCACTCCATAAATAATTCACTATTTATTGAGAGCTATGCTAGCAACACTGAAGTAAACTGACAAGTTCCTTTGCCCTCAAGGAGTTCAAAATCAAACAGGGAAGACAGATACAAAGGAATAATAGTCATATAATTTTAATAGTATCAAATAAGCCTCACTAAAAGTAAGTAAAACATGATAATGGGAACATTACGAAGTTCATAGATTCTAATAATGATGAAGGACAGAGGAATAGGACGCTTTAGGTGATTTTGTTACAGAAATTATATCTGAGAGGCGTCTTAAACTACGAGCAAATTTCACCATTTATAAAAACAGAGAAAGGGAATAACAGAATTAACGTCTTGAACACACACTGTTACAAAGGGGATCCATTATCTGACTGTGCACTGCTAAGTTCACCGCAGTGTCAAAACGCTTTATTCTAATTAAGTGCCCCCCAAAAGACAAAACTTATAGTAGCTATACGCATTTCCCTATAGATTAATAAGCAAATTAGCTTATCCTAAATTATGATTGTTAAAATCTTTAGGTTCTTTTTTAAAAGTTTGCATTATATTCTTTTCTATTTTGAAAAAACGGCACTGGCTCCCCACTATCTATTAGAATTCACTTCCAAAATGCTGGATATCTAATAGAAAACTTTTAACTATCAGATCCATAAACTATCTTTCTAGATAGTACCTTACTGAATCTTTCAATTATAAATGTTCATATTTTCCCATATTTGCATATGTTTTCTTATAATAAAATAACATTTTCCTCCTTCTCTGGGCCTCAAAATTCTATTCATTCTTCCGTAATCTTGAAGGCCCCTATGTTTAGCAATATTTCTTATTATGATCAGCCAGCACAGCAAGTTCCCTATAGATTTTTAAGCGACTGTTGCATTACTCCTTGAATATTACGTTATACCTGGTCTTCCTACTCTTGTTTTTGAGGATAAGGACTAGATCTTATTTTCCTAGAAGCTTGTTTACTTAATGTGATATAGTAAATACTCAAAAAAGGTTTAGTAAATGAGTAGAAATTAAGGACTGCCAACAAGCTTATAAAATAATTGCAAATGAAGTAAGTAGATAAAAAGATAATGCGGAAGTCTTCTAGCTTAGAAGTTCAATGATACAGATTCCGTGGAATAACAGATAGGAAGGACATTGTGTGAATGACTGTGAACTCTAGAAGGTAAAACTGCCTGCATAAAGTGTTCTATTATAACTGCTTTAGTTATCTAATTCTGCCCGAGGAAATCAATAATCATAATTGCTCTTTTGTTCAATATAGTATTTAAACCTAAGATTCGCCAATATGGATTTGTACCTACATGAGAAATAGCCTGTCAATTCATGGGAAAGGAGGCCAGGTAAGTGTCCGATGGTATTGACCTACACAAGTCCTTAAAATGTATCAAGACAGACATTTAAAACACTCAAAATTTCAATCAAGTTCAGCATTATATGACTCAATATCTCACTAATGATCAAAGGAAGATTTAAAAGCTAAACATAACAGATATTCTAGAAAGAACTTAATGAATGTCAATACTCTCATTCATTCTGAATCAGAAGCTACAGCAGAATCTCTCCTTCCTTTCCTTTGAACTTCACTTACTTATGTATGTGTGGAATTAGCTGTTACATATTTATGCTATCAAACAGGAATTCCTATTACTTAATTTAGTAGTAAAAGATGAAACACCTGCCCTTTGTTCTGTATTTCATCCGATACGTAATGTCATTGGAGGAGAAACTCGGATTAAAGCTTGCTGCATTTCGTATCTGCCTAAATGGGTAATTGGTCTTCATGCAATAGTTCATGAACTTAATTTTGAAAAAATTGCTTAGTTGATTCCTTAAAATAGCACTTGTGGAACAAACATTCAGAATGTTTATCCTCAGGAGCTATTATGTTCCTTTTTCTTGTCAAACAGGTCATGCAAGTAAACTGCTCTAAGGAGCGTTGAAGGATGTGATTTGTGTGAAAACTTTGTAGAGTAAAAACTCCTTCCCTAACTCACTCTACAACTGAATAAAAATTTCTGTTTTCACCGCAAGAATAAACCTTGGAATTCTGAAGCAATAGGATTCCTCTGTTTTTGCTCTATTAGTGTTTTCTGTATCAACACATTCCACAAGAGGAAACTACAGCCAGTGCTTACCATACTCAGCCTTACATGCAAAATTATTGTGTCTATGGTGATATTTTTAGAATATGAGATGTAGAGGAATAATTAATGAGCTTGCAGTTACTGTTTAAATATTTCCTACATCATACCTGTTATTTGTAAGGCTACCAGGTTTGCTCCTAATGTTGTTTGTGTATCACGATCCTATTTGTTTTATTTTTATACTTCACAATAAAGAAAAAGGTTAATATTTTGTAAGTCTGTTTTTTTTTTTTTTTTTAAGAAATCATGGCTCATGATACAACTTTCCATTGCTAGATTTTAAAATGTGTTTCAAAGAGCATCCCAGGTTCCATACATTAAAAAAATGGTGATAGTCTAGGTTAAATATAACATTTCATTCTTAAAAACCTGTGGTGTTCATTCCTTTGAGATAAATCTCCTAAACACTCACTATTGAAGAATAGGTAGTAGTAAAACAGAAATTAATTCAATTCTGTTCTCATTCCTCCTTTAATTTTATAAGGTCTTTGAAATGTATAAAAATCATTTCCACAAGAGCTCAGGACACTGCAACTTAACTAAATAGGGCAAGGAGAATGAATAACCAGCTTGGGTTACATGCTAAATTTTATTAATGTACATAGTATCATTATTTCAACACTTAGTTCATTAACACACACACACACACACACACACACACATATCCATCAACCTGCCGTATGGAAAAGACTATAGATAATCAAACCCTTTAGTGTTAAAAAAATTTTCCACAAATGCCTATTCTTGCTCAATTTCTCCATAAAATGGTCTGAATATGGTAAAAAAAAAAAAAAAAAAAAAAAACTCGTAAAGAAAAAGGAAAAAGCGACTCGACTCAGTAAAAAAAAAAAAAATCATAAGCTTCTACAGAACTATCAAAGTGATAGATAAACCAAGAATTAAATTTTGTTAACCATTTTTTTTTGGTTAAACTAAGTATTCTTTCCTAACTGCTATGAAATATTATAAACAGAAGGAGGCAAACCCTGGGACTATTTGATGATCAAACAAACACACCAAAAAGGGCAAGAGTTCCAAGGGTAATTCTTTTGTATGTCTAATCAGAGTGCCAAAAATACCCCAAGGAGGGTCCAAGGTGAAGTGTGGAATGGAGGTACTGGTATAGCTTAACGTATGAAACTTGTCTTTTAAAGTGCATGCCACCAAAAATTGTTCCATATCACCATTGTGGCTAATCGGTAAATCCAAGCATTTTAACATACTTGGAAAGAATGTGATGCATGCAGAAGCAATCCTTTCTCCCATTTTTAGTCGTATGTATATATGGCATAAAATGTAATTATGAAAGCTTTTGATATCCATAATGTTATAAATGTGACACTTTACATAGAATAATCATGCTTTTATTTTAGAAATTCCTGCATGTATAAATACAACACATACACTTAAAAACAAAAGATGGCAAACATGATAGATATTTAATTATAAATTCGAGACCCTTCTTGCCCCTTTCAAAGTTTAAAGCTTGTAAATATAAGACATTTTAGAAAGTAAACACATCATTATCTCTAAAATTTAGGTGTTTCTTTTTTACACATAAGAACAATAACAAAAAATAGTAACATACTCTACAAATGAGGTCAGAATTTTATAGAAAATGTTCTCACTGATACTGAACTTAGTCAAATATAAAACAACGCCACGATAACAGCTAAGTGATTCAGCTCAACTTAATCGGGTTTTTGTGAAATTCTTTCAACTTCACGTGTAAAATGTCCTGTTCAAATCATAAAAATACAAACAAAACAGGGTTCTTTATGTTCAAATCTAAAACACCAATCACTATTTTAGCTACTAGTTATAATGTATCTGATTTTGTAAAAAAGCAAAAACATACAAAAAAATCAACTTACTTGATCTGTCCCATACAGCAGTATGTTCAGAGAAATGAAGGCTGTCATTTTCCAAGGCTGTTTTCAGATCAGCACCTTTGGAGTGTCTATGGAATAAGCGGCTGGCAAAGCCTTCTAATTTCTGAAGAGCAGTAGTCGTGCCCGTGAACTGGTTACAAGGTAGTTCTCTATACGCTGCCATTCATGGGCATTTACTCTTTACTTAAAGTAACTGCAAATATTTCCAGAAGGAGCTCAACAACTTCTTCACCAGAAGCTCAGAGCTATGCATGTGTCAAACTTCCTGTTTGCAGGGTATTCAAACCACTACTGCTGCTCTGTTTCCTGTTAATATAAAACAGCACATTACTGAGCTTTTCTTAGCAAAACTTCACATCTCGACTAGAGATGGGTATTTTAAAAACTTGCCGTATCTGCCTAAAGAGCTTTATGTTTGCGTGTTTCACTATTAATGTACACGTTGAGGGCATTAAATATGAAGCTTTGCATGTATAGGAGATTGAAATTTTGTTTATGAAGCAAAACTAGTTAAACATGTATTACCACCCTATGCAAACAACTGAAGGCCAAAGCATGCTCCAGATACGGTAAAAAGAAAGATGATATTTTTTCCAGGAAATTAGCTAATACATATATGAATCCTAGGTGCAGTGAATTTTTCATCAAAAGCTGGTAGGAACCCTTGCAAGTGAATTTAGAGCACATATGTTATAACTTAATAAATCTGAAGCAGCACCTTAAAAAACTAAGTACTATTAACTCATTGATTTAGATCTAATATGTACAGAAACTCCAGTGTCAATCTTTTAATCTGCTGCAAGAGTCTAAGAGCAGTATATCTTAAAACATTCTAAACTTTGAAGGGAAAAAAACCCCCAACAAAATACAAGGTTTAAAATTATTTAAAATCAGCCAAAGCAAAAACAATTTCAATTGAGAGGGAAAAATTCCTTCTATTTGGCTGACACGTGTCAGCCTGAAACCTTAATGCTGAGCATTACGACATAACCTAAACCCTGGATTTAGTGGTCTCTTAGAAACATCTCTTAACTAAAAGTAAATAAAGCTTGTCATCATCAATTTGCAGGAGGAAAAAAAGTAACTTGTGGCATTGAACAAGAATTTGAGTACTTGCCTTTGACGCTAAATAAAGGGAGAGAAAACTGTATGGTTTTCTTTGTGCTGTAAGGGAAGTGAGCAGAAGGGGGGGAGGGAAAGAAAGGAGAAGAAAGGGAAAGGAAAAACACTTTTAAACAACTATCTAAAAAAAATCCTGCTCCAGATTTTCTACCAACTCTTTGCCTAATACAATAAATAGAAGCAATAATGACAAACAGAATAAATGGGAACAATCGTGTAATCAAATCAGGACAACAAAAACACACAAGGTCACTAAGGAAACGTTGACTCATGAAGTTTGTCATGTAACAGCTCATTTGAGTACACTTTGTTTTGTGTAGTAAAATTAGTATCAATCTACACAAATAAGGCAACCGTATCTATCAGAAGAAACTTCTCAAATATGTAGCCTTATGTGTAAATATTGTGTGTATAAGAATAGGTCCTTTGTTTATTAACATTTGGCAATGCCTTACACAAAATAGACACTAAGTGTCTGTAGTCTTCAATAAACATTTGTAGAGCACAGTCTGATCCTGGACTGGAAAAAGTACATGAAATTCCTGAATTCTTTTAACTTGCTCTCCTGAGTGAAATTTGATTCATTTTCAAGGCTCAGTTCACATGTCACCTCTTCTATGAAGTCTCCCACATATTTTCTAGGAAAATAGACTGTTACTTCCTCTTGTTTTTACGGATCTTAAAAAATTATTTTAAAATTTGCTGATTATGAGTTTATATGTCCCTAAGTTATGAGTTGCTGAATTCATAAATGCAATGCATGTATTAAATACTCAATAAACACCTGTCAGATGAAGAAAGCATTTGTTCATTTTTAGTGACTTACAGGTGTTTAAGTAGAATCGTCAAAATACTTGAAAATGTCTTGACTTTTATTTGTCAATCTGTATAAATAATCCAACAGGCACTAAGTTGCTCATCTACAAAATAAATAGAAGTGTTCTTCTGAATTCATTTTCTCCATATTCACTTACTAGATTTATTATTTGAGTTCCATTTTCACTTGGTGAAAATGTGGATTTCTAACTTTTCGTGTTTCCCACTTGCAGTTACCCTCCTTTAATCATTTATATCCCCAAAATATTAACAACCCCCTCCCCAAATATTTCACACTCACGATATTCCCTTGCCAAATACACAAACTAACGCTAACATTTCATCCTGACTGATGTTTAAAACATCTAACCAGACTTATTTATATTAAACTTTGCTTACGGACAGAAATTCCACATTCCTAATTAGAACACTAAGATTAATTTATTTAAAACAATGAGTGAAATTTAAAACAAAGCTACAACAGCAAATACAGGAGGCTTCACTAGATGAGTATCTCAAAAATACATTTGAAATCTTTTTTATTTTTTTCATAGAACTGTTTCCATTTGTTATAAGGTCCTTATAGAAGCAGAATATCCAGTTCTTAGGCCAGTGTTCCTATATATGGTAATGTGACCAGGAAGCTGTTGCTATGGAAGTGTTTAGGCAAGTTGATTTTTATGAAGAAAAAAAAAAAAAGAACTCTACTGGCATCTACTGCTGGAAGGAAACAACTACAATTTTAACGAAAATTATGATTCCTTATAAATCGAGTTAATAGTAAGTAAATCCTTGCTATTCTTCTTGATGTTATTGCCTTGTCTGTCTAGCCTTGTACCCTAAACTTGCCATAATAGCATATCTTATGGTTAAATAGTGTGGATTTTAAAACTAGAGAATAAATTGTTTTCATGAGGTTATGAAGTTTTTACTTAGTCTGCAATTAATTGTAGAAATTATAGCAATTTTCAGAGTTGAACCTGCTTTGACATAAGATACCACAAAAAACTGGTTTGTTTCATACACACACACGCACACACACACACACACACACACGCATATATTTTTGAGCCAGGGTTTCCTCTGTCACTTAGCCCAGAGTGCAATCGAATAGCCATGCTCATGCAATTTTTTATTGTTGTTCATCCTGATCGCACTCAAATGAAGTGATCTTCCTGCCTCAACCTCCTGAGTAGCTAGGACTACAGATGCATGCCACTGGCTAATTTTTTAATTTTTTGCAGAGGTGGGTGGGGGGTCTCATTATATTGCATAGGCTGGTCTCAACCTCTTGTCCTCGGGTGATCCTTCTACCTTCACCTCCCAAAGAGCCGGGATTACAGGTGTGAGCCATGGCACCTTGTCTATTTCTTATATTTAATAATAGTAATGATAAATTTGCCATGTCTTTTACAATATAGAAACTGATTTGTGCTCTAAAAGCATTGTGAAGTTATTGTAAGGCTCATGAGATTTTTTTTTTTTTTTTGAGACAGAGTCTTACTTTGTTGCCCACGGTAGGGTGCCATGGCAGCACAGGAACCTCAAACTCCTGGGCTTAAGTGATTCTCTTTCCTCAGCCTCCTAAGTAGCTGGGACTGTAGGCACCCACCACAATGCCTGGCTAGTTGTTGTTGTTCTCATTATTGTTTAGTAGGCCTAGGCAGGGCTCGAACCCGCCAGCCCTGGTGCATGTGGCTGGCACCCTAATCACTGAGCAATGGGTGCTGAGCCGCTCATAAGATCTTAAAGATAAAGCAAGCAGGATAGGTATTCCCCTATTTTAAGATGCAAAAGTTCACAATAAGTGACTTCCCCAAAGTCATCTACGTCTTCCAACTCCCAGATCGCACAGCTCCCTGTGTTTCAGGAGACTGATTATCACAGGAGTCAGCATTTTTTCCAATGCACTGTTTTCCAAACAAAGGTGACGAGCTGGAGGTGAAAGAACAGTGGTGGGTAGGATTAGCTTCTTGGCTAGACTATCCAGAGTCTGAGACTCGGCTCTGAGGATGTTTTCATGCAGATTGTCACCTATACCCATTCAATTCCACTGTGCACATTTGGACTAAGTAGAACTTTGCACTTTAGAGTGTGAAGATTAAAGAAAAGAAATACAGGAAAGCGTATTTAACATGTAAATGACATGTGTTTGCTCCAGTGGAAGACAAAGGACATGACCATGACCCCTGCTATTCAAATCAAGGTATTAGAGCAATAGTTTTGCCTTTCTGGAATGTTCTATTAATGGATTCCTAAACTGCGAAACCTCTCAAGACTGGCACCTTTCATTTATCATAGTATAGCCACTGAGATTTATCTATGTGTGTGCTTCAGTTCATTCATTTTTATTACTGAAAAGTATTCCATTACAGAGATCTACCACATTTTATTTATTTATTTAGAGACAGAGTCTCAAGCTGTCACCCTAGTTAGGGTGCTGTTGCATCGTAGCTCACAGCAACCTCCAACTCTTGGGTTTAAGTGATCCTCTTGCCTCAGATTTTCTATTTTTAGAAGTAGAAAGACCAGCTCAGGCTGGTCTTGAAGCTGTGAGCTCAAGCTATCTATCTGCCTCAGCCTCCCAGAGTGCAAGGATTACAGGTGTGAGCCACCACGGCTGGCCCAACAACATTTTACGTATCTATTCACAATTGGATTACTTTTGCAACTCTGTCAAAAAATCCAATTGACTGGCTGGGTGCAGTAGCTCACACTTGTAGTTCTAGCTACTTGGGAGGCTCAAGCAGGAGAATCACTTGAGTCCAGGGCTTCAAGGCTACAGAGAGCTATCATCATGCTACTACATTCCAGCCTAAGCAAAAATCAGTCTCTAAAAAGAAATGATGATAGGGGGCACCTGTCGCTCAATGATTAGGGCACCAGCCACATGCTCAGGGGCTGGTGGGTTTGAACCCAGCCCAGCAGGGCCTGCTAAACAGACAAACAACAAAAAATACCCAGGCATTGTGGTGGGCTCCTGTAGTCCCAGCTACTAGGGAGGCTGAGGCAAGAGAATAACTTGAACCCATGAGTTTGAGGTTGCTGTGAGTTGTGACGCTGGAGCACTCTATTGAGGGCAACAAAGTGAAACTGTTTCGATTAAAAAAAAAAAAGATGATAGTTGTGTGGGTCTATTTCTGGACTTTCTATTCTCCTCCCTAGTATACATGTCGGGTCTTTCACTAAAGTGCAGCTTCTAGTAAGTCCAAATCTGGAGCCCTGGAGAGAACTGTCCTGGAGCCAGTTGTGAGGTGTGCATGTGACAAAGGGAGCAGGAGTTTCAGTCTCACCTGTGGTCAAGTAACTATTCCATTTTTTTAAACAAAAGTATTGAACT